ACCCATTGTATGCTAATCAAGGTGGTCAGTTGAAACATTCACACCTAGCTCCAGCAGACAAAAGTCCTTTGTCCCACTTTGGTCATTGCACAGATATATAAACCAATTTTCCTACTTCCAACAGACCTCACTACCTCTGAGGATGCTTGCCATAGATGCAGGCAAAACGTCAGGAGAAAATGCCTCCAGAACATGGCCATATAGCCCGAAAAAACCTACAACAACCCAGTGATTCCAGCCATGAAAGCCTTCGACAATATAAGCTTAGGATCCTGAAAGTTCACAAAGTCTTCAGCTTTGTCTGTTGTTGTTGTTGTTGTTGTTGTTGTTGTTGTTGTTGTTATATTATCTCAATGAGGGCTGGTGTCTCATTTAAACTACATCTCTTTCTTTTTCTGTCCTGGGATTATTCTAAAGTGTAGAATGAAAGCGGTTTCAAACTGCATTAACTCAAAAGACATTCAATACTAAATGCAATCCTATGAAGCAACACTGCCACCTAATGGCCATTGACAGTTATTACAACAACAAAGCTTGATCTCTCCATTCATTTCACTTGCAGCTTGATCTCTTATTTATTTATTTATTTATTACTTTGCTTATATACCGCTGTATCTCAAGCCCGAAGGCGACTCACAGCGGTTCACAAACAGTAAAAACAGTAGAAACAGCAGTGGTTCCATGCAACATATAACAATTGACTTAACACATTATCCATAAATTACCAATAAGCAATTACAATGCACAATTATTACAAAAAACAACCGTACCCAATCTTCTCATCATCCAAGCGTAGTCCAGGTTCGTCCTCCATTGTTCCATTCCTATGTTCCATTACCAGATTGCACTAAATTACTCAAACGCCTGCACAAACATCCAGGTCTTCACCTTTTTGCGGAATACCATTAGAGATGGTGCTAGTCTAATGTCCGTAGGAAGGGCGTTCCACAGCCGAGGAGCCACCACCGAGAAGGCCCTATCTCTCGTCCCCGCCAGCCGAGCTTGAGAAGCAGGCGGGATCGAGAGCAGGGTCTCCCCGGAAGATCTCAAACTCCTGGTTGGTTCATAGGCAGAGATGCGGTCAGATAGGTAGCTTGGGCCGGAACCGTTTAGGGCTTTAAAGGCCAACGCCAGCACTTTGAATTCAGCCCGGTAGCAGATCGGTAGCCAGTGGAGTTGGCGCAACAGGGGGGTGTATGCTCCCTGCGCTCCGCTCCTGTTAAAATCATGGCTGCCGAGCGTTGGACTAGTTGGAGCTTCCGAGCTGTCTTCAAAGGCAACCCCACGTAGAGAGCGTTGCAGTAGTCTAAACGGGATGTAACCAGAGCGTGGACTACCGTGGCCAAGTCAGACTTCCCAAGGTACGGGCGCAGCTGGCGCACAAGCTTTAGCTGTGCAAATGCTCCCCTGGTCACCGCCGAAACCTGGGGTTCCAGGCTCAGCGATGAGTTCAGGGTCACACCCAAGCTGCGAACCTGCGTCTTCAGGGGGAGTGCGGCCCCATCCAACACAGGCTGTAACCCTATGCCCTGTTCGGCCTTGCGAACCAGGAGTACCTCTGTCTTGTCTGGATTCAATTTCAATTTGTTCGCCCCCATCCAGACCGTCACAGCGGCCAAGCACCGGTTCAGGACCTCGACAGCCTCCTTAGTAGCAGGTGGAAAGGAGTGACAGAGTTGGACATCATCTGCGTACAGATGACACCGTACCCCGAAACTCTGGATGATCTCCCCCAGCGGCTTCATGTAGATGTTAAACAACATGGGAGACAATATTGAGCCCTGAGGAACCCCACAAGACAATGGTTGTGGGGTTGAACAGGTGTCCCCCAACAACACCTTCTGAGATCTTAGCTCTTAATGCTATGGAACAATGGGATTTGTAGTTTGTTGAGGATCCAGAACACTTTGGAGGATAAATATAAAGGCCGTGCAAAACTACAATCCCCACGATTCCATAGTCACTAAAAGTGGGATCAAACTGCATTAACTTTCCAGTGTAGATGCACTCATTTGGTGTGACGACGCATCCCTTTGAGAGGGAAGGGTTAACCGTTGCATAATCATTCCCCTAAGAAAAATAAAATATGGACTGCCAGGCCGGATTACGGATTTTGCAATAAATCTGGTCAAACAAGTTCCCTGCGGCTCAATTCCCATCTCTTGACATAAGAGCCATTGTTTCTCAGCTTGACAGCGTATTTATTTTTTTGCTAAATTGGCCTCTGCTATAAAATGCAACAAAAACAGGCCCACTGATCCTAATTCTCAAGCTTAAAATCGGAGATTGTTCTAAGTCTTGTTCTAAGTGCATTCCAATGTTCCCATTGATAACATCTCTTATGAACTGGAACCTATTTCATTGATAAATTCCTGTTTCGTTGAGAGATTTCCTGCTGTCAATGAGAGGTTTCCTGGCTTTCGTTGATACCATCGGGACTCTCCGCTGCTGGGGTTCAGCACATAGGTTTTGAGTCAACCTCGGTACTTACTTACTTAGGCAATCCCTCGTAGTCGGAGGATGATGGTCCTCCAAGTGTAGTGTCATGGCTGTGGGTCCGTAAGTGACTATGGAGCCCTATTCTTGATCTGCATCTTCTCCCGCAGTGAAGGCATCGGTTTCCAGGTGGAAGGCGGTCTCGGTCGGGGTTGGCTTGACATGCCTTCCTCTTGACACATTTCTCTCTTTCGCCCTCCATTCGTGCCTCTTCAAATTCTGCAGCACTGCTGGTCACAGCTGACCTCCAATTGGAGCACTCAGGGCCAGGGCTTTCCAGTTCTCAGTGTCTATGCCAGAGTTTTAAGGTTGGTTTGAGCCCATCTTTCAATTTCTTTTCCTGTCCTCCAACACGCCGTTTTCCGTTCTTGGGTTCAGAATAGAGCAACTGCTTTGGGAGATGGTGGTCGGGCATTCGGACAACATAACCAGTCCAGCAGAGGACCATTGCTTTGATGCTGGTGGTCTTTGCTTCGTCCAGCACGCTGACTTTTGTCCGCTTGTCTTCCCAAGAGATTTGCAGGATTTTTTGGAGGCAGAGCTGATGGAATCGTTCTAGGAGTTGCATGTGACATCTGTAGACAGTCCACGTTTCGCAGGCATAGAGCAGGGTTGGGAGGACAATGGCTTTATAAACAAGCACCTTGGTCTCCCTACAGATGTCCGGGTCCTCAAACACTCTCTGCTTCATTTGGAAGAATGCTGCACTCGCAGAGCTCAGACGGTGTTATATTTCAGTGTCAATGTTGACTTTGGTGGAGAGGTGGCTGCCAAGGGAGCAGAAATGGTCAACATTTTCTAATGTTACACCATTAAGCTGTATCTCTGGCATTGGAAAGGGGTTGAGTGCTGGAAGAGCATTTTGGTTTTCTCGGTGTTCAATGACAGGCCGAGCTGCTCGTAGGCTTCTACGAAGGTGTTTAGAGTGCATTTAGGGGTCTTCTTCTGAATGCGCACAGATGATGTTGTCATCAGTATACTGGAGTTCTATAACAGATGTTGTTGTAACCTCGGTTTTGGGTCAACCTCTGTGGAGAGAAATAATATTAAATTAATTAAAATTTAAATCCATTAAATTAATCTTAAATTAATTATATCTTAAGTTGATTAAATTAATTACATTTTAAATTAACTATGTATTAAATTAATTAAATCTTAATTATATTAATTAAATTTAAAATGTATTAAATTTTAACTTAAAGTAATTGAATCTTAATGTAATTGAATCTCAAATTACTGAAAATAATTAAATCTTAAATTAATTAAAATTAATTGAATTTTAAATTAATTAAATGAAATATTAAATCAATCAAAATTTAAATCAAATTAATCTTAAATTAATTACATCTTAAATTGATTAAGTTAATTACATCTTAAATTAACTATGTCTTAAATTAGTTAAATCAATCAATCAAATCTTAATTATATTTATTAAAATTAAAATTTATTAAATCTCAACTTAAACTAATTGAATCTTAAAGTAATTGAATCTCAAATTAATGACAATAATTAAATCTTAAATTAATTAAATCACAAATTAATTAAAATTAATTAAATTTTAAACTAATTAAATGAAACATTAAATTAATTAAATGAAACATTAAATTGATTTAAATTTAAATCAATTAAATTAATCTTAAATTAATTACATCTTAAGATGATTAAGTTAATTAAATCTTAAATTAACTATATGTCAAATTACTTAAATCAATCAAATCTTAATTATATTAATTAAATTTAATATTTATTAAATCTTAACTTAAACTAATTGAATCTTAATGTAATTGAATCTAAAATTATTGAAGATAATTAAATCACAAATTAATTAAAATTCAGTAAATCTTAAATTAATTAAATTAATCTTAAATTAATTACATCTTAAGTTGATTAAGTTAATTACATCTTAAATTAACTATATTTTAAATTAATTAAATCAATCAAATCTTAATTATATTAATTAAATTTTAAATTAATTAAATCTTAACGTAAATAAATCTTAAATTGATTAAATCTTAAACTAATTAAATCTTAAATTAATTGAATTGATTAAATCTTACATTAATTAAATCTCAAATTAATAAAGTTGATCAAATCTTTGCATCAATTAATTAAATATTAAAATTAATTCAATTAATTAAGTGCAGTTAGTATTAAAATGCATAAATCTAAGATTAAAACACTAATGCATGACAGGGGGCAAACTTATATATTGATTTGACAACAATTGACAGAGATTAAATAAATAAGATTCATTTAATCCAAAAAAAAGAGGAAAAATAATTAAGAATGGAGGGATTAAACAAATAATGTTAACATTGGGAGGAATAGACTAAAGCAAAGACCCATTTGGCCTTTTCTGCTAAGAAAACTACGATCCCCACAATGCACCGCGCCGCCCTATGCATCCCTATGGAAGGCTTGAGGCGACACCTCCGTCGTCCCGGTGGAGCATTTACAGGCTGTGAATGGCGGCTGGGGTAAAAAAAACTACGACGCCCAGAATGCACTGCGCGCCTTCAGCCCCGGCCCCTTGGCGGAGGTCTTCTAAACCGGCGGGAAGAAGCAAGATGGCGGCGCTGGGAGGGAAGTAGTTGAGGTGAGTGGAGCGAAAGGAGGAAGGGGTGTGTTTCGGGGGGCCGGGGAGGGGCGTTATGCTGGCTGGGGGGCCCGTTTAGGGCTTGAAATGAAGGGGAGACTCCGGAGAACAAGATGAACCCTATATCGGGGGGCTCCGTGGGGTAGATTTTGTATTAAAAGCAAGAATATACAGCCCCACCCCTCCCCAGCTAGGCCTTCCTCAAGACTAGTCCACATAAGAAGACCACTACTACTAATAATAGTATAATATAATACAATATATTGTATATACATATAATTCTAAGACTGGGACCCAAGAAGACAGTTCCATCTTGTCTCCAGTGTTATGTTTATAATATAGTATATTGTATATACATATAATATTTATAATATTATAATGTAATGCAATATAATACTATATTATTAAAATAATAATAATATATTATGATTATATATTTTATATGTAATATTACTACTAATATTACACGGCTGGCGGGGACGAGGGACAGGGCCTTCTCTGTGGTGGCCCCTCGGCTGTGGAACGCCCTTCCCATGGACATTAGATCAGCTGCTACGTTAATGGTGTTTCGAAGAAAACTAAAAACCTGGCTGTTTGAACAGGCGTTCGGATAAACAGTGCAATGAATTACGATGAATATAGGAACGGAATTATAGACGACGAATTTGGATCACGATTCTAGTTACGAGATGTTAATGTGCGGTTATTGATGTGCCATTACTTTGTATATTATGTTCTCATGGTTTTAAATTGCATATTGTTATATTGTTATGACTGTCTTTTTGCTCTTGTTGTGAACCGCGTTGAGTCGCCTGCGGGCTGAGAAACTGCGGTATACAAGCAAAGTAAATAAATAAATAAATAATCATAATTGCTACTACTAATAATAATTACTAATGTACAATGCTATCGTTCAGTATACTAATATATAATACAAATATTGTGCTATGCTAATAATATAATATATTGTGTTTACATATTACTTGTAAGCTGCTCTGAGTCCGCTTCAGGGTGAAAAGGGTGGCATATAAATGGCATATATATATATATATATATATATATATATATATATATATATATCTCACATACACACACACACACACATATATATATATCACATACATATAATATTGATAATATTATAATGTAATACAATATTCTAATTATATATATACACATTGCATGTAATATTACTAACAATATACTAATATATAATACAAACATTGTGCTACGGTAATAATATAGTATATTGTATTTACATATTGTATTTATTTTTATTTATTTATTATTCAAACTTGTATGCCGCCACTCTCCTAGGGCTTGGAGCGGCTCACAAGAAAAGACTAAAATCTAAAACAATGTTTAAAAACCCAGCAATATCAAAGATCAAAAGCCTGTCGAAACAACTATGTCTTACATGCCCTGCGGAATGCTGATAAGTCCCGCACGGCACGGACTTCAGGTGGCAGAATGTTCCAGAGTAATGGTGCCACTGCTGTAAAGGCTCTGCGTCTGGTTGCTGTTAGATGCAACTTGTAAGCCGCTCTGAGTCCCTTTCAGGGTGAGAAGGGCGGCATATAAATGTCATATATATATCACATACATATAATATTGATAATATTATAATGTAATACAATATAATAATAATACAATATTATAATTATATATATTTATATTACATGTAATATTACTAATAATATTGCAATATAATGGTATAGTACAATATATATATCTACAATATATCTAAAATATATAGTACAATATATAATACTGATATTCTACTATGCTAATAGTAGAATATCAGTATTATGAAAATCATAATCAGTATTATGATATTCTACTATGATATATATATATATATCTTGTAAGCCGCCCTGAGTCCCCATCGGGGTGAGAAGGGTGCATATAAATGTCAAAAATAAATAAATACATATAATATTGGTAATATTATAATGTAACACAATATAATAATATATTATAATTATATATATTTATATTACATGTAATATTATTAATGATATTACAATATAATGGTTTAGTACAACATAGTAATATATAATACTGATATCCTACTATGCTAATAATATACTACATTGTGTGTGTGTGTGTGTGTGTGTGTGTGTGTGTATATATATATATATATATCTTGCAAGCCGCTCTGAGTCCCCATCGGGGAGAGAAGGGTGCATATAAATGTAAAAAATAAAGATATACATATAATATTAATAATATTATAATGTAACACAATATAATAATATGATATTATAATTATATATATATTACATGTAATATTACTAATTTATTTATGTCTTCCGCAACCAGAACACTGTATTAAATTTCTAACAGAACAAAACAAACAAACAGATAAAAACCCCCACAAATTTTGCAAACTTGGTAGTTGATTCAATGTCCTTTGAGCAGTATCTGGCCCCTTGGAGTGCCTCTGGTGTTGCCACAAGGAGGTCCTCCATTGTGCATGTGGCAGGGCTCAGGGTGCATTGCAGCAGGTGGTCAGTGGTTTGCTCTTCTCCGCACTCGCATGTCGGGGATTCCACTTTGTGGCCCCATTTCTGAAGGTTGGCTCTGCATCTCGTGGGGCCAGAGCGCAGTCTGTTCAGCGCCTTCCAAGCCGCTCAGTCCTCTGTGTGCCCAGGGGGGAGTCTCTCATTTGGTGTCACCCATGGATTGAGGTTCTGGGTTTGAGCCTGCCACTTTTGGACTCTCGCTTGCTGGGGTGTTCCAGCGAATGTCTCTGTAGATCTTGGAAAACTATTTCTTGATTTAAGTCGTTGACGTGCTGGCTGATACTCAAACAGGGGATGGGCTGGAGATGTCTCTGCCTTGGTCCTTTCACTATTGGCTGCTACTTCCCGGCGGATGTCAGGTGGTGCAATACCGGCTAGACAGTGTAGTTTCTCCAGTGGTGTAGGGCGCAGACACCCCGTGATAATGCGGCATGTCTCATTAAGAGCCACATCCACTGTTTTAGTGTGGTGAGATGTGTTCCACACTGGGCATGCATACTCAGCAGCAGAGTAGCATAGTGCAAGGGCAGATGTCTTCACTGTGTCTGGTTGTGATCCCTAGGTTGTGCCAGTCACCTTTCGTATGATATTGTTTCTAGCACCCACCTTTTGCTTCCTATTCAGGCAGTGCTTCTTGTACGTAAGAGCGCGGTCCAGAGTGACTCCCAGGTTTTTGGGTGCGCTGCAATGCTCCAGTGGGATTCCTTCCTTCCCAGGTAATCCTCAGAGCTCGGGATGCTTGTCTGTTCTTAAGGTGAAAAGCACATGTCTGTGTTTTAGATGGATTAGGGATCAGCTGGTTTTCCCTGTCATAGGCAGTCAGAGCACCTAGAGCTTTGGAGAGCTTCTGTTCAACCATCTCAAAGCTCCCTGCTTGAGCGGTAATGGCACGATCATCAGCATAGATGAAACTCTCTGTCCCTTCTGGCAGTGGCTGGTCATTTGTGTACATGTTGAACATGGATGGAGGAAGCACGCTCCCCTGAGGCAGGCCGTTCTTCTGTTTCCGCCATTTGCTTCTCTGGCCCTGAACACAACAAAAAAGCTCCTGTTTTGTAGCAGGTTTCCTATGAGGCGGGTGAGGTGGTAGTCCTTTGTGATATAGATTTTTCTCAGGAGGAGGTGGTGGTTGACAGTATCATAAACCGCTGACAGGTTTATGCAGACAGCTCCCATATAATATTGATAATATTATAATGCAATACAATATAATAATACAATATTATAATTTATATATATTTATATTACATGTTATATTGCTAATATTACAGTATAATGGTATAATACAATATAGTAATATATAATACTAATATTGAGCTACGGTAATAATATAATATATTGTATTTACATATTGCTTGTAAGCCACTCTGAGTCCCCTTCGGGATGAGAAGGGCAGCATATAAATGTCGGAAATAAATAAATAAATAAATAAATGTAATAATAATAATATATAATGCTAATAATATAAAATAATATTAATAATATAAAGTAATAATACTAATATAAAGTTATAGCAATATAAAATCATACTAAGAATACTATAAAATAACATAAAATAAGAACAAGACATAATAATATAAAATAATTTCAATTATATCTTATATTATAACCCAGTGGTGCAGTGTGTTAAACCTCTGAGCTGCTAAACTTGTTGACCGAAAGGCGGTTCAAATCCGGGGAGTGACATGAGCTTCTGCTGTCAGCCCCAGCTTCTGCCAACCTAGCAGTTCGAAAACATACAGGTGTGAGTAGATCAGTAGATACCGCTCCAGTGGGAAGGTAATGGTGCTCCATGCAATCATACTGGCCACATGACATTGGTGGTGTCTATGGACAACACCAGCTCTTCGGTTTACAAATGGAGAATAGCACCAGGCCCCAGAGTTGGACATGACCGGACTTAATGTTAGGGGAAAACCTTTATATTTTCTAATAATATAAAATAATAGTAATATAAAATAAATGGCTCTAGCTATGTCAATTGCTATAACACAAATAATTATAGTTATAATAATTCTATATTTTAACTTATAATATAAATTATAATATACTAATATATAATACAATATAGCTAATAATAGCAATGAAGGTTGAATATCTCTTTTCTAAAATCCTCAACAATTGATAATAATAATATAAAATAAATTACATAAATAATTCAAATACAATAAAATGGAACAAACAATTCATATCTGGGCAGTGGGGTGAACTAAAATTATCAAAGCTCTGGAGACCATGAATCCCTCTGAGGAGTGTCTTAAAGAGCTGTGTCTGTTTAGCCTGCAGAAGAGAAGGTTGGGAGGAGGAATGAGAACCATGTATAAATATTTGAAAGGGTGTCCTAAAGAAGAGGCCTTGTTGAAGGAAGGCCTTCCTGAAATCCAGGTATGCTCCATCCATGGCATTTCCTTCATCTACGGAGCTTGTAACTCTATTGAAAAAAGAGATCAGATTCATCTGGCATGACTTGTTTTT